GACTCGCTCTGATCTTGAATACTGATCCCTAACTTTTTAGAATTTTAATGGTCTCGTGAATTTGTTGAATATTGTTCTTCCTGATGTTTCGACTGGCCTAAGACGGTATTCTAGTGTTTTTTTATTGCATTGGTCGTTGCAATACACTCCTGCTTGAGAGGGGTTAGTAGTGGGAGGGAGGTGACGCGTCCTGCTGGCGAGGGGTTCCGTCGGTAGGACTGAAATAGGGCATAGCAGCAATGGAGATGGTGGCTCCGCTGTGATAAGTCTTGTCGGAGGGGGGTCAGGGGGAGTGTTCAGGTGGTTTAGGGGTGTTGAGCACGACCGGTGCATGGACGAAGCCGGGCATTTTGAAGCCTTAGTTGCCGCGGTGTGTTCAACAGATTATCCGACGGTGGGTTATCGTAATCATGTCCATAAGGTTAGGGTTGGCCGATGCCAGAATGACGCTGGTCGGAGCTGGGGTTTGGTTGCGCTGCCTTGTAACCTGAGTATGCGGGGGTAGAGGCCTAATAGAGAGATCTGGGGAACTACCGAGGGTGGAAGGCAGTTCAGTGGCTAACCGCGAGCTGGTATTAGGACAACGCGGGTCGGAGTTGGGGTGGGTCGCGTCGCCCTGTAACCCAGTGGTTGGGGGTGCGAGGCCTGGAAGAGCTTGGTATCTTGGATATGTGGGTTGAGGCAGTCATATGATAGTTTGTTGATAGCATTGGGGCAGCATGTTTTCGATTATATCGGCTTCCAGATAATCTCATTTGGGTCTCTTTTTTCATGAGTAAGTTGATTTGTTTAAGTCGTTTCTGGTGGTCTTGAGGTCGCTTCAGGATTCTGGGGGTTTCTTGTTATTCACTGTGGGCCTCTCTGATGCGGTTATATTCATAGAGTCGTGGTTGGTGGTTTGATGTCAGAACGTCGCTGGCTGGTGTTGGAAGTAAATGGTGGGATATCAAGCGTCCTACTAGCGAGGTGACTAGCTGGTAGGATGGAAATAGGGTACATCTGCAGTGGAGATGGTGACTCTGCTGCAGTAAGTCTTGCCGGAGCGAGGAAAAGAGGACGGATGGGGGTTTCTGGGACGTTCTCTGGATTTTTGCTTACGTGAGTGGGAAAAGTAGATGGGGGGATAACAAGCGTCCTACTAGTGAGGGGGTTTGTTGATAGGATGGAAATAGGGTACAGCAGCAGCGGAGATGGTGACTCTGCTGCAGTAAGTCTTGTCGGAGTGAGGTAAAGAGGATGGAGAGGGTTTTCTGAGGCGTTTCCTGAAGTCTTGCCTAATTTCAGAATTTTGTCATAGTAATTTTTAATCTGGCTCCAATTTTTCTTCGCCAAAGCCGGGTAATGGCCCCGGTATCCCAAACCTTCAAAATTGTCTTTCAGTTGTTTCTGGTGGTCTCGAGAGGCTGTTATATGCATAGATCTACGGTCAGAACGACATTGGATGGTGTTGGCAGTAGATGGCGGGATATCAAGCGTCCTACCAGTGAAGGGGCTAGCTGGTAGGATGGAAATAGGGTATAGCAGCAGCAGAGATGGTGACTCTGCTGTCGTAAGTCTTGCGCAATGAGGTGAAGAGGATGGATGGGGGGGGTTGAGACGTTTCTTGAGCTTTGCCTGGGTGAGTGGGAGAAGAAGGTTGGATATCAAGCATCCTACTAGTGAGGGGGCCAGATGGTAAGATGGTAATAGGGTACAGCAGCAAGAGAGATGGTGGCTCTTCTTCAGTAAGACTTGTCGGAGTGAGGTAATGAGGATAAAAGGGGTCTGAGTCTTTCCCTGAATTTTTGCCTATTTTCGGTAGCTTGTTTGTATCTCTTAATCTAGTTCTTAGTCAAAGTCGGGTAGTGGCCCCGGTACTGCAAACTCTCAATCTTTTTCAAAATCCTATGTAACTTTTTATATGAGACGTTGGGCCGTGTTCCCAGCACGTGCTGCTCCCCACGAATAGATTGGAGCTTTGTTCCCATTAAAAAAAAAAAAAAAAAAAAAGGTCTGGCACAATCTTTTTTTCTTTTCTTTTCTTAAAAAGGTTTCTAAAAGATCGGACTTAGTTATGAGGTCTCAATGATTCCTAAGCATGGTTCTGAATGGACGAAGTTGTTGGCAATTGAACCTGAATGGTATCATCTCCTTTAGGGTTGGAGCCCCTCCCTGCGAGGGTTACATAGAGTGGGTGGTGTGATCTTTGAGAGGGAGGGGCGGTGTTGAGGGTTTGTCCTTCTCTAGGCCACGCTGATTTTTGGGTCGGATCAGCTACGACGGTTGGGGAGAGAGGACAAGGGGTGCTGATGTCAGCATGATGAGACATTGTAAGGCTGTTTCACTTGGAGGGGATGGGGCAGGAGGGAAGGGGGATCTTCGGCTCTGCAGGGCATACTTTAGGAGGTACTGTATGCAGCTGAGGGAGCATGAGTGGTATTTAGGGGGTTGTTTTGTACTGGGGCTGGGAGGTGAGGAGGCGCTTCCCCGCAGAGGCAGTATCAGACAGGGGGTCGTTTTTTTAGGGAGGGGAGTAATCCGTTTTGGTTCTTGCGAGCCTTGTTTATACAATTGAGATTAGAATAGGCGCTGGAGTTTCCATGGGGAGAGAGGATGTTTTTTTCCCTCCCTTCCCCTCTTCTTGTGGAAATAATAGGCGCTGAAATGTGTATATGGTTTTCTCAATCTTCTGATTTTCTGATTCTTCAGTATGTTCTTGATTGAATGTCTCCAAAAAAAAAAAAAACAGAGGCGATTGGAAGAAGTACATGGTGGGTTAACAGGCGTCCTAGTGGTGAGGGGGCTAACTCGTAGGATGGAATTAGGGTACAGCAGCAGCGAAGATGGACACTCCGCTGCAGTAAGTCTTGCTGGAGTGAGGCAAAGAGGATTGTTGGGGGGGTTCTGAGTTGTTTGTTCTTAGCCGAAGCCAGGTAATGGCCGTGGTATCTCAAAAAAAGGAGGGGAGGGGCGGGGAGCTAGAACTGGAGGACGGTAGGTAGAAAGGAGGCTCTCAACAGAGGAGGGTTGTTTGTTAAGGTAAGTAGGTTAGAAGGACGATGTTGGGACGACACATGCCAGTGCTGGAGCTTTTGCTCTGTGACCTAGACAGGGGAGCTTGAGGCCTGTGGAGTTATGCCGAGGGTGGAAGGCATAACCAGACCGTTCGACGTTGTCAGCGCCGGGGTATTAACCCTGTAACCTGTGCCAAGGGCTTGCCGCTACGGGAAATGTCGAGGGAGGAAGGCACTTCCTGTCCGTCAGAACTAGTTTGGTCAGTACTGGGGAAGGTTGTGGTGCCCTGTTACCCTAGCAGAAGGGGGTATGAGATCACGTGAGTTCTGGTACGAGGACTGAAAGCCTGGACCGACGTTCCGTCTGTTGAGGGGGGGACTTCTGGATAGTAGGCAGTTTCAGTTTTGACCCCCTGCTCTCATATTTTTTAAGCTTTTTTAAGCTTTTTCAGATTTTTTGAATGAGGTAAGTCTAGAGAATGCCTTAGGATTCTGGGTACTTTTTGCAACTCATTTTAAACTTTCTCTAATGCTGTTATATTCATGGATCTGCGGTTTTCCGATGCCAGAACGACGCTGGACGGAGCTGGGGGGTTGCCCTGTAACCTGTTGATAGCAGGAGCGTGAGGCCTGGTAGAGAGATCTGGGGATGCCTGGGCAGGGCATTCCAAGGGAAAACCAAGGGTTGCTGTCGGTGCGAAGCTGGCCGGAGCTGGGGTGAGTTGTGTTGCCCTGTAACTTGCAGGATGGGGGCATGAGGCCGGGGAAAGCTCGGCAGGGAATAAGACAGAGTAGGAGAATTTCAGAATGTTTTGTTGGGGATTCCAGGGTTCTGAGCATTCAAAGGGCTTCTGTGGTTCTCTGTTTGACTTAGTGAGTACTGTTTGAGTAGCCTAGCAATAGGTTAGCAAGTTATCCATGTTTTCCTAAATTTTCCAGAACCTTTTCATAGTTCTCACAACTTCTCAGATTGTTCTTAGCCGAAGCCAGGTAATGGCCCTGGTATCTCAAATCATTTCTCGAATCATGTGAATAATTCCATATGGGACGAAGGGCCCGGTTCCCAGCACGTGTTGCTCCCCACGAATAGATTGGAGCTCTTTGTCCCCAAAAAAAAAGGGAAAAAAAAAAAGAAGAAGAAAAAAAGCTATATTCTTCTCTCATCTATTTCATCCTTCTTGGTAGTACGCATTTATCTCATCCTCTCTCTAGTCTATGCATAGTACGGGGGAACACCAACCAACCCAGATCTCTCCCCAGCCCACGGGGTAGGTTGGCACCACAGCTGCGGTGCGAGAGCAAGGCTGTACGGTGACGAGGGGTGGGCGGGCATTGCCGATGGGGGAAATCGGCGGTGCCAGCACCGAGCAATGGCCAGTCACTGCACCTCCCCCTGCCCCCCCCCAACCCCATATGGTGTTGTCTAATGGCCAATATTGTCGCTGGATAGCAGCCAACAACATCAGCCAAGGTCCTGCCAATGCCGACTTGGGGGGCAAACGGGTTATCTCTAGCTGGTAGATCACCAAGCTCGCCCAGGCACATAGGTGAGGCCAATGGGGACTGAGGCCACAACCTCCTGAATGCAACTTCTGTGCCTTACCAACTAAGCTACGCCCGCAGGCCCACAGCCGGTTTTCGAAATACAAGAACAAAAAAAAAAAAGGAAAACACATATAAAGAAAAGAAAGAAAAATGTTCTTTCTGTTGGTGCACTTGTTCGTGCGCCGCACGCTTGAGAGAGAGAGAGAGAGCGAGAGAGAGAGAGAGAGAGAGAGAGAGAGAGAGAGAGAGAGAGAGAGAGAGAGCTCACACACACACACACACACACACACACACACACAGAGT